TATAAACTTTTATTAATAAATTTGGATTTAATCAGCTGTAATTCGGCAGCCGAATAACCCAATTTGGACTAGTGTTAGCATATTAGTTTTTGATCCTCTTTCTTTTATCTAGACTTGAGAATAAATCAAATAGCTCAAAGCTGATATTTGAAGAAATCTCGATATAGTTTGATATATAGATAGAAGTGAAGTTATAACATTCATGTAAACAAATTTGTAAACAGCCAATGTAAATATCACAAACTAATAAAGTATACCGGGCAAGGCCTAGATAGTGTTTAAAAAAAAAAAAAAGTTAAGATTGTTTGAATAAATATTTTTCTATTTGAATTTTTTTTTTTTAAATAAAAATATAAAATTATATATAAAAACTAGTTGGAAAATAAAAAAAATTTTTAATATTTTTAAATATAACAAATATTTTTTTTATAAAATTATTGTTATTTAATATTGTACAAATATTGTTACAAAATTATTTTATTAATTAATTTAATTTTTTTTTTTTTTTAAGATGAAATGCAGATTGTTACTTGGTTTTTATTAATAAATACCTTATATTAATATACTTCACAGTTCAAGAACGTATACAAGTTAATACATTATATACTTTATACATATTATTCCTATATAATATCTTATATCCAATTGCTTAGAAACTTATCACCTTAAATAATTTTTTTAGTAACTATTGGAGTGAGATCTATAGAGTATAAAAATCCTATTATTAATTAAACTACTTAACCTATTGGTCCAGCTTGACCTAGAGGAATCTTGATTAGAGAAGTTAATCTAAGTGCCTCTTTACCTTATTATCTAAACTTCAAATCATATCTTTTTGATCTAAGACTTCTTTTAAAGAGACACAATTTTTGTCACCACCTGTGGCAACCTATTTTTCAAATCTATTAGGCTCTATATCAGATTAAAATAGCCTAGGCTAGGGCTCTAACCATTATTGGAAACAAAACATTGATTAGATTTAATTAGAATGAAGTACAGTTCAGTCTGTATATTTAAATGCAAGAGAAATCTTAATTAAAGAAGTTAAACACACATTTTTTAGCTTATCATGTTATCTAATCACCATAGGTATACTTCTGACAATTTTCTTATTACCAACTGAACAATTGTTATACCACAGCACCTTTTTTGGAAATAATAATTTCAATACTTACTGAATCAGTATGTAAATCAACTTCTTATAAAAAACAATACTTGAGCAGGTTATAGTATCAGATACTATATTTATTAATTAATTTAATAAAATTATTAGTAATTAATTTTTTATAAAAATTTTTATAATGTTTTTTTTAATTTGTATTTTTAAAATTTTTTAAAACTTTAAATAAAAAACAAACACCATTATATTAAGATTATTTAATAAATAATGAATATTTTTTATTATTATACTTTTAAAAATATGTTTTATAAAGTTTTTAATATTATTTATATAATTTTAATATTATTTATTTATAAAAATTTGTTAAAGAAAAAAATTATTATTTCTTATAATTATCACCATATATATGAAATAATATTTGTACTTGCATAAAAGCTAAGTTTATTGTTATTATACTTAGGAGTAAGTATGTATATTGTTTTATCTTCACAATTAAACTACATGTATTGTTACTAATTCTTTTCTGATTAGAATAAGATATTTGAAAAGAGAATAGATATTTTAGCTTTTCATTCCAAGATAAAAATATTTTTTTTTTATTAATATTAGTATTATATAATTTTATTTCAAAAAATATATAGACCATAGTTCAAGTTGTCTCTGAGAAGTTCTTTTATAATTCTGGATTTGTTATCATTTGATAAATGAAAAGAGTATTGATAATTAAAAAAGATATTAAGAGCTTTCAAAGATATAAAATTAAAAAAAAAAAAGATTTTTATTATAGTATAATGATTTTTAAATCATTTTTTGCAAACTTTAAAAGATATTGTTATATGATTTTGAAACTTCTATAATCTTTTTCTTAGAGATAAACAAGTATTAATCAAACTTTAAATAAGTTGATAAATTTTAAAAAACAGGTATATATATTAGGAAAGGTAATATAGATTATATTTGTACTAATCATTTTGTAAATAATTATTACAAGATAACTGTTTATATCAGTAATAAGTATGTTTAATAGAATATGTGTTGGTTCAGAGAATTGGCTCTTGAAGGATAAGAATAATTCTTCAAGATTCTTTTTATTTTTTGAAAAAAAAAATTTTAGAATTTCTTTATATAATAATTTTTTTTCAAATATAAGTTGTTTTAAAAAGAGTTTTTATTTACTAATATATTACTATATATAATATATATAAATAATATTTAACTATTGTTTATTTATTTATTTTTTTTTATTTGGATTTAAGTTTATATTTATTAATCTATCTTGCAATAAGCTTCAATTACTTGCTTTTGTAAAGATTATTAACAAATTTAAAATTAAAATATAATTATATATTTAATGTTTATACAATAAATCTTTTCTTGATATTTTGATAAAAAAAGTGAATAGTGGAAGTTAATAATAGCAATAGCTAACAGATTGATAATTGTGATCATCATTAATTTATTAATAAAATCTATGCATATATTACAACTTAGCCCTTAAAAAATAAATAAATAAATATTCTTTAAATATATTTCTTTTGAAATCATAAAAAACTTTTTAAAAAATATACATTTATAAAGGGTGTACATTTAGAAAGATAATTTAATTAAGAATTCTATATACTTGGAATTAAGCTTGACCATGCATTTAAAAAGAAAAAATATAGTAAATGCATTTAGATATAGAAAGGAAGTATTTAGAAAGGTTTATATATACAATATATATATATATATTTTTGATTTATACATATTTTATATAAAAATTATAAAAATTAAAAAAAAATCTTTTTACTGATCCCTTTGCCAACATAAAAAACAGACATTTCAAGGAAACTTTTATATTTCTTTGTAATAAAGTCTATACACTTTCATTAACAACACTTATATCAAAAGACTAGAGTCTCCTCTACTTGTTTCTTTCTTTGACATAAACTTCTTGTATTTCTGTGAGTAAATATAAGAAATACCTATCTATAAAGTTAAAGGCAAGAAAACTTTGTTAGGAAAAAGAACCTGTAGAAAAAACACCATTCTCTCTTTCTCCAGAGATTCAAGACTCTAAAAAAGACTGGCATAGTTTTTGAAACTCTTCTTTCATCTTCCTCAAGCTTCCTCCTATCTTTTCAAGTATGTAAACTTTTTCCTGATTTTTCTGGAGAATTTTGCCTATCTCAGTTTGGCCCTGAATTTCTGGTTACACCAGAATTCTTGAATGGTGATTGGCTCGAATTTAGAACTGGTTGATTTACATGTAGCAAGAAATATAAACAAGACACATAACTCCCATGTGCCCTATCTCGTATAACACAAAACACAATAATGCAATTGGATATAGTGAAAAGAGCAAGGTGACAAGGTGCTCTTTTTGTTAAGAAGTGTTATAGTGTTCACTCCTCTTCTCTTGGACTGGTTTCTTTTCTCTTCAAGATCAAAAGAAGTCTCATCCCAATCCAATAAGAAGCTTCTTCTTTTGTTGATTATCCCAAAAAGGCAACAAGCATTAGTATAAGTCTTGTTTCAAGCAATAATTTCCAATGGATGTAAGACTTGCTTTAAGCAATATGTAAATCTTATAATAAGTACTTTGAATATTCTTGATTAACAAGAGAATGATGAAAATTAAATAGTTCATCTGGCTACAAGTGGTGGTAAAGAATTTATCCTGATGGACCGAAGTTAATATTGGAAAGTTTTTATTTACCAGAACAAACTTTTCATTTACTCTTTTCACTCATTTTTTTTTTTCTTAAAAATAAAAATTTTTTATCTCTTAGGACCACAGGTTCGTGTTGAGGAGACAGCCTGAATGTAGACTGGCAATGATTTTTCTTAAGGCCAAGGAGTAGTCTTAGAAAAGGAGTGATTTTATTATTCCCCACGATCACACTTAGAGAGTTAAGATTTGAAAAGTCTAAGATAATTAATATCACACAGTAATAGTTTAATGAACCAACTTCCTTGTAGTGAAATAGTTAGTAAATAGCTAAATCATATGGACAGCATGGTGGTCTTGGTATTAAGGATTCAAGAATCATGTACAAATCTAAAAATAACTTGTTGACAGGTGTTCTGCAATAGGCACAGTTTAACTCTAATATAAAATTGTAGGATTTAATGTACTATTGTTTTATTTGTACAAAAATCAATAATTAATAAACACAGCGATTGCAGTCTGATTAGAGGCAAAAAAAAAAATTATAAAAATTGAATCAAGTTATCAAATAATTAATATTATTGTAAAAAAAATTTATTTATATTAATTATAGGTTATAATAAAAAACAAACTATAATAAAAAATTTATAATAAAATAAAAAATACGTTTAACTAAAATAGATATTGGGTAACTTGCAAAAATTTATGGTATTACACACGTTTTATAAATTGTCAATGATTTTTCTATTTGAAATAAAGAATCCGGACACTAATACAGTATTATTATTTAAGAAATTTAACTTTAAATTTCAATGTTTTTACAAGAAATTGCAAATATATTGATATCATATCCTTTTTACAACAGGAATCGACTTTTCTTCCGAAATCACGCCACACTGTCATTACTTTTATAGTAATAATGTGACACAATAACCACCATCTGGCCTTTGTTCAAAACGATGATTATTATGAAATCGTATCAAAAGTTCTACTATCAAAAAACATTATCAAAGAATAATATTCCAAAAATTTTATTATTAAACCTTTATAACATCCTAAACTTCAATTATTATATTAAAATTGATCAATTATAAGAAATTAATTTGTCACGATATTCGATGCACGATTCAAGATGCATTCTTAAGTTCTACCAAGATATCCTTTGTTTCAGCCAGAGTGCCCTCAGTTTTCAACTTAGCTTCTTCGAAAGTGTCCTTTATCTCCGATAAAATACCCTCAGTTTTCAATTTATCTTCCGCAAAGGTGTCCTTGATTTCCGCCTTACTTTCTAACAGGTCTACAGTTTCCGCTAAGCAATTCCATTCCATTTCTTCCTTACCATTAGCTTTCAGATATTCATTGGCCTTTGACCAATGACGACAATCAAAAAATCCGCGATGCGCCGATAATGGAGAAGGATGGACGGCATCCAACACAAGATGCTTGTTCTAATTTAACGATTATTACTTAAATAATTACTAAATCATTAACAGACCTGAAAACGCAGTTGATTCTTACCTTATTGATTACCTTGCCCTTCTTTATCGCATGCGAACCCCACAACATGAATACTATTCCGGTCTTTTTTTCGTTCAAGTGTTGAATGACTGCGTCTATTAAAATAACAATTGTTAATACAAACTCGAACTAACAATGCGAAAATCTACTTATAATCACAAACCGGTAAACTTTTCCCATCCTCTACCACTATGACTTGCAGCTTCATGAGCGCGCACAGTAAGCGAAGTATTTAATAGTAAAACGCCCGATTTGGCCCAATTTGCAAGGTACCTGTCAAATATTATATTTTGATTTTAATTTTTTTGTCTCATTAAATATGAAATATAGGACACCAACCCATGATTTGGAATCTGAAATGACGGTATGTCTTTCTGTAATGCTTTATATATATTGACGAGCGAGGGTGGCGGTTGAACCCCTTTCGGGACACTAAAGCATAAACCATGTGCTTGACCCACACCGTGATACGGATCTATATAAATTTATAAAATATTTAATTTACATCTAAGATTTATCTCAAATATTACAAATCTAACCTTGACCAAGAATCACTATTTTAACAGAGGAGGGAGGAGTGAACCTGGACCAACTGTATATTTCATTTTCTACGAAAATAATATAGATTGTTGCACACATAGTTAATTTAAAGAAGCGAACGCGACTTTTACAAAAAAAAAATTGCATTAAGGTACCGGGTGGAAATATTCTCTTATTATTTGATTTTTCTTCTTGAAGGAATTTTTTCAACTAGGCAATGAAAGAATAAAACATATCAACGTTGAACTCTTTAGTTTAATTATTTTGCGTCACAAGCAACAAACCCCAATAAAATACGGCTTTTGAATTTCGTCCGCTAACGCTCTCAACCATTCACTATTCAAGGTTTCAAACTCCAGTTTCAACAATTCATTAGCTTCAAGACCTACACCTTTAGAAATTTTTGCTACCGTGTTTTGCACGTCTTGTGGCTTTACAGTGGGAGTTTTTATCCAAGCCGCAAGAGAGCTTTGTTTTGTATTCGATAGCTTTTGCTTTTTGTTATTTTCGGTAGTATTTTCGGAAGACGCGTTTTCGCGTTTAGACATTTTTTGAAGTAAGAAAAAGAATAGACTTGAAGTTGATATAATAAAATGTGAAAGGTATGACAGGTGTAACCAGTATAGGAAGACGTACATATCTACATCTGGACATGATTCTTCTCATAACGTACAAATGTTATTACAAACAGCGACAGTTTTATAGTCTTATATGGGATGTTAACTCCAAATCTAGTCACATAATAATATATATTGCTTTTAATAAAAGGCTTGTTACACAAGGTTATATGTAAAAAGATAATTTTTTAAAATTAATAGTATTTATTATTATTATTATTATTATTTATAATCAGATTAATTGCAAAACACTTGTCAATTTATGGTATTATTAATTTTATTAAATTAAATTTAAATCAAGATTTGTTAAATCTTTTAAAAAATTTTATTATTAATAATTTTGATTTTGAAAGTTATATAAGATAATACAAAAAAATTTATAATAATATACTGTATATTGCCATATGTCAATCCAATCTTAAAGATTAGCATAGAATAGAGAACTAATAGTAGAGAGATACTTTATTTAGAACATAATTCTAATATGATATGCTATAGTTATAGAGAAAGTATATTTGAGATTTCAAAGATTATAATACAAGAGGTATAACAATTATAATTATATAAAAACAAATATAATTGTAATAATTTGTTAAGAATTAAAATATATCTTTATTATTAGAATATTATTATACTTCTAATTTTATCAATTTTATCTTTAATTCTTCTACAGTCTTTTTATAACTTTTCTATAATTTTTTTATTATTTTTTCCCCTGTATATAAAATATATAATTATTTTATTTAAATAAGAAATATAATTGGTATACTAAATTATTAAGAATAACAAATAATACAAATATGAAAATAGTTAATAAAAGACTTTACCCATAGAACACTTCTGCTATACTTGAAGCATGGATATGCCAAATCCTTTTTGTGACTTGGAGGCAAACTTGTATAAAGTGGTTGTAGCACCTTCATGCAAAAAGATACATATCTTCTATCACCTTTAACACCACTCCACTTGCCGTACATCAAGCCATATTTGGAAAGCAGGCATGCCAATCCTAATCATGACTTGGAGGCCAACCTGTATAGATTGGCTGCAGTGTCTTCATGTAATTAGGTATACATTTAATTCCAGGTAGCTGGACACCATTTATAATTAGATATAGATTTTTGAATTTCTTTTTGTCTATATTCCTTGGATGATACTAAAAAAGCACAGGGTCGAGCCCTATATAGGAGCCTTGCGTTAAACTCTTTCTAATAAAAAGAGATATATATCATGCTATTGATTATTGTACCTTACTTTGTAAATGAAAGTATAATAAATATAATAAAATATGATAGTCATTTGCTCTTTTCAAAAAAAAAAAAATAGTTAATAAAAGACTAATTTGTAATATGTTTCTTAATTCTTTGTATTTATAACTTAAGAATTATTACTTGATAATATAATATAATAATATATTTTTAATTGGATACTATAAATATTTAATTGAAATTCTTAATTATTACAAAAGTGATAATCAAAATCTTTTTTGAATTCTAAATAAAATTGTTTAATAGATAAAAATACTATAGATCTATTATTAACAAATTAATATATTAAATCTATTTTTGGTATAAAATTTTCTATTTCAGAAAAGTTAAACTTTTAAATTTAACAATATATATTTTTTTAATTAATTAAGGACATTAAATATTTTTACAAACCTTCTTTTCTCTGATTTATTTATTAATCCAAAAAACAGATATTCTCAAAAGATTTTATATCTTTCTGATAATAAAGTCTATACACTATTCCTAACAACACTGGTTCCTTAACTAGCAGACCGAGCAGCAGCTACCACTTGTTTTTCTTTTTTTTTCCAACATTTTCTTACATAATTTTGCAACTAAATACAAAAAACATATCCAAAAAGTGAAAAACTCTTTCTGAAACACACCTACATCTGAATAAAATTACCAAAAAAGGAAACAAAAATTTTTCTTCAAAAAAAACTGTAAAGGACCTTGGAGAGTCTTCTTCATCCTCCAAGGGTCAAACCATCAAACCAACTCACATTTTACTTGACGTTCTTATCACCGATGTCGACAAATGCCTAGCTGTAATCTTTTACAAAAACAACAATACCAACATCTACACCACTAACCCTACTGTCAACATTTGCCTTCCAAAATTTGAAAATCTTTCAAAAGCATGGCTAACACCAGTATGCCTCCAGGAAGCTGACCGTAAAGTAATCAAAGTAATCTCAGTGTCCTTCGAAGTACACAAAAAAAGACTAGAGAATTATTACACTGAAGTCAAAACCAGCATTTTGGATCCTATGTCACTGGAAACAATGAACTCTTTTTTCAAATATTGTCACACCTTTAATTTATCTGACAATGACAAAGCTGGAATTATGAAGATACTTCTTAAACAAAAACTCACATACAGACTTCATGTCTCTTGGAATAAAATTGACATTAATATCGATGAAGTAGCCAAATCTTTCTTCCTGGAGCAAAAAACCAAAATATCCATACCCCCTCCAAACACTTCAGCTCTAACTGGGGAAATGATCAACAATAATAACAGTATGCAAATTGATTGTGATGATGATACAACACATGCACTTACTCCTGAGTACAATGTCAATCAAACCAGCCCTCAAGCAAACACGAGCATCACCCCACAGGTACATGCAGATCACTCCATCAATAAATCCTAACACATAGATTCACAGGACATACAGTCAATCAATACCAGTATGGAAATTTATGAGCATCACTCCTCCAACCAATCAGAGGATACCATAGAATCATCTTCCACATCATGGGCTAATAAAACTAACCAACATCTTGAAGCAAGTAGCAGCAATTCCTCCCAAAATACAGCAGATATCAAGAGTGCCCCAAAACTAAGCGAACAAAACAAAATCCTAAAATTGTGCAATGAAATCGATCAGTGTGACAGGACAGCTAAGTCCATAGTAAAACTTTTCATCAAAATCAAAAGCCAACCGACCGGACCACCAAGAACCTCACTAAAAGGAATTTTTTCCAAAATCAAGTACAGAGACCGCGACTTCTTTAAAACTTTTGCAAAAGATAAGTTAATCAAGGGACAACACCAACGAGAATATGAAAAAATAGAAAAAGAATTTTATAGCAACTATTTAAAAGCAAATAACGTGGGGTATATCATCAGAACAACCAAGAAAAAAATTAGAATTATTATTAACAAAGCCCTCTTCATAGCATACCTCAGGTCAACAGACCTAGCTCTTCTTAAATATTGGCAAGTTACATAACTTCTGGAATATAGCTTTAATTTTTTTATAGATCCTAGCCTTGGAAAAATTGACTACAATGAAATCTATGAAAACTGTGAAAAAATGATTAAGGAAAACCTCTCTGATCTTCCAGAAAACCTAGCTGACATTCCAAAATCAATAAAAGTGCGGCTCCCAAAAGCTATATCAATCATCTCCACAAAAGATACAAGTGAAATTGCAGGAAGTCTCAGAGCCTTCTACAACTTTGAGCTTCTTCCAACAACATATTTTGTCAAAAAACCTGACCTACCTCTTGACCCAAGTGACCTCACATTCGTGGGCAAACACAAATTTCCATTAACAGAAAGAGAAGAGCTACTAGACCTTAAAACACATGTAGATAAACTCAGAGAAGACTATTATGTGTCTGAAAAACTTCCTGACATGTATTTCAATCTTCCATCATCAAAATTAACTTTTCCACCCTTCTATAGATACTTATTTCTTCACTTAGCAAGACAATTTCCAGTAGATAACAGTATCGAAAGCTTTAAAAAGGGAGTTAAATTTTTAAGAGATAACAACTACACTGTCAAGCACCTATCACTAGATTATATAATGGTGAAGCGCCCTCTTCCCCCCTCACACTGGTATGATGAAAACAATGCCATCCTTCTGCCCATCACTGTACAAGATGAAGCAGACGAACTCATAAAGGATCTTAAGTCAAAGTTCTTCATAAAACTTCTATTGAAACCTGAATGGATCAACGAAAACTTAACTCAATCTGACAAACCAAAGCTCCCAGCCGAATTAAGTACAGTAGAACAAGAACTTAATATTAACAAAAATCAACTAGACAGAAACTCTTCTGACTTCAGACAAATGATCATTAAAATTAAAAACAACTACATAGGCACAATACCAAAGAATAGATCACACCCCTCTTACCAACACTTCCTGACATAAACGAAACAAACAAAATCCTAACTAACAAAAATATTCAATTATTAGTACCATTATTGGATAACCCTTAACTTAGTGAAAAAATCAAAATTCTTGGCACCCACTTCCACTTCGACAAACTACTACAAAACTTTATTACCGAGCCTGAGTCATCTGAGCCAAAGTTGACTCTCCTCCCAATACTCATTTAAACATGACAGAAGAGTCCAACTCAAACCACTCTTTAGAAACCATCTTGTCTAACAACTCATCTACAAACACTAACAATCCAATCAAATCCAACCATCAAATATTACTTGCAACCTTCTCTTGCCACACAAAAAATCTTATTACAATCTTAACACTTAATGTTCAAGGCCTCAACTCTCGAGAAAAACTTCACGAGCTAATCAAAAGCATTACCAATGAAAGAAACATCCTTTGCTATTCTGAAACCAAAACTACAAAACATAATCCACTACCAAAATCATTAAACAATATCAACATTATTACAAGTCTACCAAGTCAATCAGCATGCAATGGATCCACTATACTTCTAACTAAGCTACTCAGCAACTACGTTTTCAAAACCTTCGCAATCAACAAGTTTTGGTGTGCAGTCCATCTTAAATTCAAACCAAAAGTAGATATAATAGTCATTTCTTGCTACTTACCCATAATATTGACCAGCGCAAAAAAGTAACAAAGTCCCTAAAAAACTTTATCAAAGAATATAGCAAAAAACACATAATTCTTACAGGTGATTTCAACTCAT